TGGCTCCGTCCTGCCCTCTCCCCCATCTCCCTTCCCCCTCCCACCTCCCTGTTCCCTCCTCCCTGCCCCCTCCTAGCTCCCATCACCCCCCCTCTGTCGCCGTCCTGGCCTCCCCCCCCCCCCGGGCCCGGGCTCTACCCCCTCCCCCCCGCAAACCCTGGGGCTGGCGGCAGCTTTCCCGGGCCCAGGGCAGGGGATTGCAGCCAGCTCTGCTGGGAGCAGCCTGGGGCCAAACCCACCCCCCGCAGCCCAGGGCACCCGGGGGGTCTCTCCCCTTCCCCCCGAGCAGGGCCGCCCTGGGGCAGGGGCTGGGAAGAGAAAGCGCCCCCTCTCTGAATGCCCGCCTGAGGGTGCACTGAGCATGCGCAGTAACATCTGCCCTGGCCGCTGCCCTCACTCTGCCCTCACTTGGTGTCAGACTCTGCTTCCTGGTCTCTGTAGGGGCTCAAGGGGCAGGTCGCTGGGGGGGTTGCGGGGCCTGAGCAGGGGTCAGAAACTCACTGGCCCGGGGGATCAAGCAGCTGTAGATAGCAGCAGAAGAGGGACTGCTCTTAAGCCCAGGGGGGAGACGCTGCCGGACGGGGCAGAGGGGGTGACGCTTACCCCGGTGGGATGAGCCACCTGCCGCATTTGCAAAGATGGGGCGGGAGGGTTATTTCCCCTTCCAGGATGCTGCATGTCAGCGCTGTGGCTCCCCGGGGCTGGGGTCTTAAAGGCACCAGCGTCCCCATTCTAAGGTGACCAGATTTCCCAATTTCATAGGGAAAGTCCCGATTTGGGGGGCTTTTTCTTATATAGGCACTTACTACCCCCACCCCCGTCCCAATTTTTTACATTTGCTATCTGGTCACCTACCCCATTCCCAGCCTGTCCCTGCCTAGACACCGCAGTGCCTCTGTCTTGTGTAACGGGCTGAGGTGCCACATTACTGCTACAGGAGACTTAATGCTGTGGAATATTGTACCTACACGCCCACTCTCAAGAGTCTCTTATCAGTTTATATGTCTACATGAAGTCACTGCAGCTCCTCTCTCTCTTACGTATTGCTGAGGTGCTAAACTCCCTCCCAGAGCCTGCACCCCCTCCTGCACCCCAAACCCCTGCCCCAGCCCAGAGCCTGCACCCAGCACCAAAACTCCCTCCCAGAGCCTGCACCCCCTCCTGCACCCCAAACCCCTGCCCCAGCCCAGAGCCTGCACTCCTCCTGCACCTAAACTCCCTCCCAGAGCCTGCACCCCACACCCAAACTCCCTCCCATCCCAGAGCCCGCACCCAGCACCAAAAGTCCCACCCAGAGCTTGCATCCCAAACCCCCTCCCACACCCGAACTCCCTCACAGAGCCCCCCTGCACCCCAACCCCATGCCCCAGCCCAGAGCCTGCCCCCCACACCCAAACTCCCACCCAGAGGCCACACCCCCTGCCCCAGCCCAGAGCCCACACTGAGCACTCAAACTCTCTCCCAGAGCCTGCACCCAAACCCCCTCTAGCACCAAAACTCCCTTGGACTCGTTCTGGACACCACCAAAAAATATACAAACCTGCTGCCTCTGGGCATATTTCTTCAGCTTTCCTCATGTATTGTTTTTCCTAATCCACTCCTGTACTTCTTTGTGTTTGTTTGTTTTTCTATCTTTCTTTTTCTTTTTCTTTTTTAAAAGTGGACATTACCTTCTGATTGTGTGGCTGTTGTAACCGTATTACATGGTGTTCTCTGCTTATGACATATGGGTTTATTGAGAACATTTAGTAAGAAACCTGTGAAGTATGACTGTAACTGGTACCCTTGCATATAGGTCACTCGGATCTGGGACTTGATAGGACTGAATTTAATAGGACCATTATTAACAAAGGATGGATTAACAAAGTAACAAAGGATGGATACCAGTATATACTGACAGCCACAGATTATTTTTCAAGATGGGTGGAAGCCTTTCCACTTCGAACTAAGTCAGCATATGAGGTGGCAGAAATCATGTACAAAATGGTTCTTTGATGTGGATGCCCATGGTGGATACTGACTGATTTTTTTTTCAGGTTATTTTTACTATTTATTCAACCTCACTATCAGGTCACAGATAGTTTGCAGTGAACAGGGGTTTCATCGCCCTTGTGATTTTTTTATTAAAGGCACATTGTTGTTGATAACTGTTTGAGAACAATCACCCTACTTTAAAAAAAAAAAACCTGCTGTGGGTCACCGTCAGAGTTGCTATAACATTTTTTGATGTTGTCTTCATATCCACCAAAAAAACCACAACTTGTTTCCAATAATAATATTAAAGATGGGATATTCCTGTTGCTAATTATACATACAAGTAATGGCACATAGCAAAGGAACATTCCTTAAGACAAGTCTGTATGTAAGTTTATGGTGTAACTTATTTCCTTTCAGTTTAACCTGTATATTTGCAAAAGATGGGGAATAGAATGTAGCTTCACCAGCCCGTAACACCCACAAACCAATGGCTTAGCTGAAAACACTAATAAATCCATCAAAAGGTAAGTGAATGGGTGAGAATATTACAGTACTGACGGCAAGTTGCTTGTACCATGCCACAAGATGCAACTCACTTCAAAGTCTTTGAAATCAACGTGTTAAATTGAAAGTCTTTGATTATGTACAATCTGTCTCAGTCAAGACTGTACATGTGCTTTTTTCCATAAACGAATCAATCATCATTTGTTACAGAGCGCTGAAGAAGATGGTTGATGACACTGCAAGTAACTGGAATGAATTCCTTGAGCCCACTTTGATTTCTTTGCGAACTAAAGTACACGCAACAACAAAACTTTCACCCTTTCGACTAATGTTTTGCAATGACCCAGTGTTTCCAGAAGAAGTCTCAGAGAATGGCATGGTAAGTGTATGTAAGTACCAGCAGCTTTCATGTACATATGGCATTCGGTGTGTCTTCATTTTACAAATACAACCCCTTCTCCATTTGTTTACAAAGATTCCAGATATCAATGAATTTGGGGAAGATTTCTGCAAAGAGTACAGGACAAATATGAAATCTAGACCAGTGGTCTCCAAAGTGGGGTGCGCGCACCCCAGGGGTTGTGCAAGACGATCCACTGGGGGGGCGTGGCAGGAGGAGCGCCGCTGGAGAAAAAAAAAAAGGGCGGCCGGAGGAGCGCCACCCTAAAGTTGGCCGGAATGCCGCCCCTTACAGTGTGCTGCCCCAGGCACGTGCTTCCTACGCTGGTGGCTGGAGCCGGCCCTGTGAGGTATCCTGAGGTAAGAGTGGGAGTTCCACAATGCGGAGAGGTTGACAGTGCTGCCCCCTCTCGTTCGTTCGCTTTCAGCGTATTGCGACGTATCACAGTTTATGTGTGCCCGGTTAAGTGGATTTATGGATTATATTATCTAGTTTTAACTAAACTAACCCTCACAAAATGGACAAGTGGCTTAAAAAGATTCCTGCAAAGAAACTGCAGATTGAAGATAATACACCTCTACCCCAACATAACGCTGTCCTCGGGAGCCAAAAAATCTTAACGCGTTATAGGTGAAACCGCGGTATATTGAACTTGCTTTGATCCGCCAGAGTGCACAGCCCTGCCCCTCCGGAGCACTGCTTTACCACGTTCTATCCAAATTCGTGTTATATTGGGTCACGTTATATCGGGGTAGAGGTGTACTAATAATGCAAGCACAAGCAAACAACAAGAAAATGGCAGAGCTGGCAGTTCTCCTACTCCTAGTACGAGCTCTTCGTCAGCCACACTATGAGGTAAAAACAATGATGATCTAATCAGATCTGACAAGAGGTCGGCCAAAAAAAAATGACTTCTTTAATAAAAACAATGTTTTATGGAAAAACTGTAAGTGTAACCACTGATGAAGCGGCTGCTTTGACTGGAATAAAGAAAGGATTCCGGGGTAAGGTTACAGAGATAGCACCATATGTGAAATTCATTCACTGCGTCATTCATAGGCAAGCTATTGCAGCAAAGAAGTTGGAGGCAGAAGTGCACAAAGTGCTACAGAATGTCATTGATATGGTTAATTTTATAAAAACAAGACCTTTAAATAGTAGAATCTTTACAATACTTTGTAATGAGATGGGGAGTGACCATGAAAATCTTTTGTACCACACAGAGGTTCGCTGGTTATCTCGTGGCAAAGTGCTTAAAAGAGTTGTTGAACTTAAAGATGAGTTACGCATTTTTCTTTTACAAAAAGACAAGTGTTCCAAATTTGCTGACCTTTTCTGTAATGACAAGTGGCTGTCAGTAGTATGCTACCTAGCAGATATTTTCGAAAAAATAAACACACTTAATCTGTCCCTTCAAGGTAAAGGTTACGTTTTAACAATGAGTGAGAAAGTAACTGCTTTTCGAAAGAAACTTGTGCTATGGACAGAGCATTTTGAAAAACGGATGTTTGGAAATGTTTCCATCGTTATGTGATTTTGTTGCCGAAAACTATGTAAGTTTGTCACCTATAAAAACTCTCATATCTGCACACGTAAAAAACTTGGAAACAGAATTTTCTAACCTGTTTAAAAATCTTCCAAACAAAGAGTTTCAGTGGGTTTTGAACCCATTTGTTAAAAATATAAAAATGCAACACCTTCGGATTAGTTTGCAAGAACAACTGATTGACATCAGGGAAGATGGAAATTTACTAGCCGAATTTCAACAAAAACCTTTGCATAATTGGTGGATGGGATTGAAAAATGAGTATCATGATTTAGTAAGTGCAGCCAATGATGCACTTCTTCCATTTGGATCTACATATGTTTGTGAGGCATCTTTTTCAGCTATGACAGCCATTAAAACCAAGATGTGAAATAAACCAGACCTTCGAATCGCTGTATCACAAAGTGTAAAACCAAGATTTTCAAAAATAATGAAGCATATTCAATCACAATGCTTTCACTAAAAATATTATTAATATTTTTAGTGAGAGAAAGAAGGTTTTTTGTACCGTTAATAAATATAATTAAAAATAAAAATATTGTTTATTTCATCTTATCTCATCCTTTTTTAATTTATATTTTTGTGTATGTTTTATAATGTACATAATATATTAGTACAGTAGTACATATATATAATTTATACATAAATAAATATACATATATTGGGGGTGCGTGCTCAAAATTTTTTATTGATGGGGTGAGCAATCAAAAAAGTTTGGAAACCACTGGACTAGATGATCTCCTGAGGTCCTTTCCAATCCTGATATTCTATGATTCTATGATATATGAACTTCATTATGTTCTTTATGTGCCAGAATGAATAATGCATTAATATCTTGAATGACTGTCAACAGGTACACGCCATCTTGGCAGTAGTTTGGCAGTAGTTTCCACTGTCATTCTCTCAGGCAGAGCAAAACAAAGGAAAGTGAAGGTAAATACTTACAAGCTTTCAGACACAACCGGAGCAAACACATTTTCATTCAGTCAGTCAAACACTAGGGATGTAAAAGTTGAACCGGTTAATCGATAAGCTTGATGCTCATTGGTTCCTGTTACCGACTAAACTCCCCTCCCGCACATGCCCGGGTCCAGCTCTCAGCCCCGCATACAGGGCTCTGCTGCCATCCCTGGATACTGGGCACTGGTGGCAGCAGAGCCCCATGTGGGGATCACAGGCAAGGGGAAGGGGGTAGTGGCTCCCCCGCTCCTCTGGTTCCCCATTACACATTTAACCCATTGAAAACCAATTGAATTTCAATGGGTTAAATGTTACTTTTTTAAGCCACTATTTACATCCCCATTAAACACAGTGTGAAACAGCAAATACAACGTTTGATGTGGAATGAGTAATAGTAATCCACATAATGAAATGGGAAATACAGTCTAATCTACGTTTCATGGTTTGCTTCACTGGAACCTATAATTGCATTTCTAATTTTGTTTTTTAATGAACACAGAGTGGAATTCTTCAATATGATATATTATTGCTTCCTTACCACACACCAGGTCATTGGGATCTTGCGGTAAGATGTTTTCTATTGTACTTCGGGATTATGGGCACTAAATGTGGTATCATATCACAGATTTGCAACACAGCTGGGTAGTAGTGATATAATTTCCTGTGTTGTGGGTTTTCAGTGAGTTCAGTGCATGCAAAGGAAAGTGGAATTTTAATGTAACTCTTGATATTCCAAAAACTGAGTTTAAAAAAAAATGCTACTGTGAAGACTCTACTGTGAAGATAACAGGTAGAATGGAATTATGTCACGTAACAGACAGTTATCTTAATACCCTTAAAGTGGGGTATCTCACAGGTTTGGTTCTGTAATGGTGACTCTGCATCAATATCTTTAAGTACCAAAACATTTGAATGGGGTGAATGGTTGTTACTGATGGACCAGTGAAATGAAATTGGATATTTTTATATCCAGCTGCAGTAAAGTAAAACTCTGAGAAACACAGTTGACGGTACTGGTATAATTGAAAATATGACTCTCAAAAAGAAAAAATAAGTGCAAACCAGTGACTGAATTAAAATAATTGACAATCATAAATACCGGTAAATCAAGATACATTATAGAGCCTTGGTCATAACAATCATCATTTCATTGTACTATACTGATTTTTCAGAAAGCGTGGAAGACTACTGCATATACTGCAACTTTGTCAGTTGTGAAAAAGAAAGTGAAGATTGCATAATGGTAAGAAACATAGAATTCTATCAGAAACACATGCCATATGTTGGAGCAGATAAGTAAGCAGAATACAGATCCAATGCAATAACCTGCCTAAGGATCAGGATTCTTGTAAAAATTCCACAACAGTAAACATCTTCATCAATGCTGATAGCATTAGCTAAGATATGCCTTACATGGGGAAGGAATAGCATGAGTGAATGGAAATTAGGTGTAACATTATAACTTCTGTGATTTCATTTTCTCATTTGTTACTTATCAAAGGTCAAGTGTGACTCTTGTAAGAGGTGGGCACATATGCCTTGCGTTCCAGAAGGAACCATTCAAGAAATCATCACTGATGAGAAGAAAGAATACAAGTGCAAAAAATGTGCATAGTTCAGCTCATTACCAAAATTATGTTGTGTAAATGGTGATTTTTAAAAAAACATCTTGGAACAAGAAGCAAACTGTTTTTGTTTATATACCAGCTTATAATAAAGTTTTTAAAATGTGAAAAAAACTTCTCAGTATTTTGTCTAAGTGTATAATGCAAGTTGTGTCAAGACAAACCCCCATCCATCCGAATTTGCGTACCCTTGGACCAGAGGATGCAAATGGCACTCCTGGACTGGTGACAGGTGCATGGGTAGCAAAGTCTGATGGATAGGGATCCACATTGCCACAATTTGCTACCCTTGGAAGTACCCGTTTGAAGGGGTCTGGCCTGTCCTCCATACCCTCAACTCTCACCTTACCTTAAACGTACTCATGGACAAAATGAAACAGATAAAAATGCAAGGGTGTCTCAGCACACCCTTACTGGAAGACTGCTTGCTTTCTCATGCACACCCTGCAATAATTAAATGAATTGTTTGGGCCACTCTGGTGTCAAGTTAGGGTCAGGTCTGTCAGTTGTAAATTACTAAGGTGGCTGCAAATTCTGCAGGGTGTCAAGGCAAACCCTCATCAGTCCGATTTTGCTACCCTGGACCAAGTGATAGCAAATTCTGCCTGGTAGCAAAAAGGCCAGACTGATGTGGCAGTAACTGCTACTGGTAGGAAAATTTGCGGGGTGTGGATTTTGCTGCTACACGTTTGATGGCGAGAAGCGCTGGGAGGTAGGTGGAGGAGTGGGGATGTGGCACGCTCAGGGGAGGGGGAGGAAGTGGGGTGGGGGGGGAGTTTGGCTGCCGGTGGGTGCAGAGCACCCACTAACTTTTCCCCGTGGGTGCTTCAGCCCCAGAGCACCTACGGTGGCGGGAGCAGGAGCTGAGTGGGGATCACGGGATGGATCAGACTCTGGCCCTGTTGGCCCAGCCCCTGATCCTTCCTGCTGTGGGGGGGAGGACAGGTTCCCCCTCGGGGCTGCTGCTGCCCCACACCGACAGGTCCCAGCCAGCTCCAGTCCCAGCCCTGAGCTCCCTTCCCCCCCCCCCCACGGCTGTGAAGCTTCCACAGCAGGGCGGGGGCTCACGGTGCCACTGAGGGTCTCTCGGGCTCAGGTGGGTCCCTGCCTACTGCCCAGCGTCCCCGGCCCCGCGACCCCCCACCCCACGTTAAATACATCTGAAGTGGTTTTAAATGTTAGCCAAACTAATTGTTTATCATTCTCTGTATTTATTATTGCTGCACAATAAAGCCTCTAATCAGCTCTAACAAGTGCACATGTGCATTAATGCATGACACAGGGCAGCACCGACGTCTATTGCCCATTGTGCCCACACAGCGTATTTAGGCAAGTTTTCAGTTGCAGAAGTTTGGCCTGTATTTATTTACTTCTGAAAAACACCGAAAGTTAGATTCTGTGTGAAGACATCAACTATTATAGAAACCACATTACAATGTTTACTTTGTTTACTATGTATGGGATTATAATACACATTTCATAGGAAAGATCCAAATGAGAACTCTAGCCTGTGTCCTTGCACATAGGTTGTTAAACCCTGGGAATTGCTGGGAGCAGATTTAATCGGGCTATATGCAGTGATGAGCTCCCAAAATCCTAAGAACCGGTTCCCTACTAGGTCCTCAGTGGCGCCTCGGTGGCACTTTGGCGGGGGGGAGGGGGTCTTCACTCGCTCCGGGTGAAGGACCTGCCGCCGAAAACCCAGAACGAGTGAAGACCCCTCCCCCGACCGCCGAAGTGCCACCGAAGACCCGGTAGGGAACCACACGGTGAGCACAAGCCCCACGTGCCTGTCTCCCCCCCACCCACCCATCCATCCAACCCCAACCCACGTCCTGCCCCCAACTGCCCCCCTCAGAACCCATAACCCATCAACCCCCCCTGCTCCTTGTCCCCTGACCACCCCCTCCCGAGACCCGCCACCCTAACTGCCCCCCAGGACCCCACCCCTTACCCAACTCGCCCCGCTCCCTGTCCCCTGACTGCCCTGACCCCATCCACCACCACCCCGACAGACTCCCGGGACTCCCATGCCTACCCAACTCCCCCCGTTCCCCGTCCCCTGACTGCCCCCCCCCAGAGCCTCTGCCCCCTCCAATCGCTCCCTGCCCCTTATCCAACCCCTCCTCCCAGCCCCGGCCCGGCCCCCTTACCAGGCCTGCACAACTCGTAAAGCGGTGAGGGCCATATTACTGCAAAGAAAATAGCTGAGGGCCGAAACG